TGGGATGCACAGGAGAAACTTCTAATGGGAAGGAAAGGGTCCAGAGAGGCTTCTCTCCCTAATTATATTTAATCTGCAATTCCAAAGTGAGAAAGAGCTGGCCATGCAAAGGGGTAAGGGGAGAACCCTCCGGGCCAGGGCAAGAGCAGCAGAAAGGCCTGGGGTCAGGAAAGTGGATGAGGGGCTGCACAAACAGAAAATGATCCCAGTGCTTCAAGGGCAGCAAGTCCCAGAGAAGGTGCAGTTGCCAAAGACGCGAGAGGTAAGGCGGGGCCGTTCCAGGCTAACTACATCACAGTAAAGAGCCTGGATCTTACTCCAAACGCCATGGGAACGGCCAAGAGCAGAGAGACTCGTATGTGTGCATGTAAATGAATGGCTTATGTATGTCTTTATACATGTTCACTTTTTCCACTGGATAGAGACTGCATCAGATAAGCAAAGACTGGAATTAGGCAGGCAGCAAGCTAGCTCAGTGACTAGTCCAGGTATAGTGGATCATTGCTAAAGGACAAATCATTAACATATTCTGACCAACTCCAAAGGCTGGTGCTGGCCCCGAGCGCTGAGCTGCTCTGGACATAAATGTGAGCAAGGCCATCCTTTCTACCTTCAGGCAGCTGGCAGCCAAGGCCTTAGGGGAAGAGGCACAAGGGGAAAGTGACAAAATGCAATGTCATTGCAGGTACAGTTAATTTGTCAATATCTTTATTAAATGAAATAAGCACATCCTCCCTGACCAGCTCTTAGTTCACACAGTTATCCTACAAATACACCAGTATATGTGCAAAATGATAGCATTTGCTCACAAGTATTCACTTCATATTTGCATAAGCAAAAGATTAGAAATGAACTGAATGTTGCTGAGTAACAGGGAACTGCTTCAATCTTGGTTTACCCATACAATGGAATATTATTCCATTCTGAGCTATATACTGTACATATATCATGTATATATACATACACCTGTGTGTGTATACTGTTGCTCTGTATCTGCAGAAGGTTGGTTCTAGGACTCCCATGGATACCAAAATTCATAGATATTCAAGTCTCTTATATAAAATGGCATCATGTTTGCATAGAACCTGTGAAAATCCTCCCATATACTTTAATCTCTAGATTACTTATAATGCAAATGCTATGTACATGGTTGTCCCACTGCATTGTTTAGGGAATGACACGTAAAAAAGTCTGTACATGTTCAATAAAGGTATAACCTTTTAAGTATTTGTGACTCACAGTTGACTGACTCCATAGGTGTGAAACCCAGAGGTACAGTGAACCAATGTATGAAAAAAAAAAATACACACACACACACACAGCATCTAAATTTTACATAATATCAAGTACTTTTAAAGATATTACATTTTTAATACTTACATTTTCAAGATAACATTGTTGCATGACAAAAGAAAAATATACAGCAGAGTGGATGGGATCTTACTAATTGTGTACAAAGGATTTAAACATTCTCAGGTCTGTATTTACCCGTACATATCTAGAAAAAAATCTGAATAGGAAACTTTAAGGAAACAAACAAAAAAAGATAATGTTGATTGCCTCTGCTGGATTACAGAGACTAGGGAACATTTACTCTTCACAGTGTACTTTTTAGAGCATTTGAAAATTGTACCATGGGACTATATAGTCTATTCAAAATAACTAAATAAAATTTAAACTTTAAACAAATTCATTCAAATAAGTGCTGAAAAGATGCAGGCACTTGGTGCTGCAAACCCAGAAGTCAGGGCTGATGCAGTGGAATGGAAGGATTCTGGGAGCACTAACAGCAATATCTTGAAGGTCAAACAGTCATCAGTCACAACCCCAAGGGACCAAGGTGCTTCTGACAGAGGCCTGGACATAGACACCAACAGGGTCCCTTCCAGGAAATGCCAGCAGCATCTTAGCTGAAGCCCCTTGTGCCGATTCTTGCCTTTGGGCCATGAATTAGGCTTATCCTGGAAGTGACAGAGCTCATACAAGGGGAAACAGCACAGGGCCAGGTCTGTAGTTCTCCAACCTGACCAGCAGCAGTGTGGAGCAGGGGCGGGGACCGCCTGGAGGCTAACTCAGAAACACGACAAGGATCTGGATGCCTGTGCGAGAACTGATGTCACAGAAGCAGGAATAGATACACAGGGACTCAGAAGACAGCACCAACCCTGAGTGAGAACTGATTCCATGGGTGGGGTACAGAGGGACCTAGGACATCTCCAGCAATGTCACCGGGCTGCTGCTACCTGGCAGAAGGAATGGTCATGAGGAAGGGAGTTTAAAGTGTAGGAGAGGCAGCTCCATAGGGGCAAATTCTAGCTGCACGTCCTGGGACAAACTGACAGAGGTCTCCAAAGCTCAGTTCCTATTGCGTTCATCTCCACATTAAAGGATTATTTCAATCATGAAATGATTTTTACACAGCACCTACCACAGTGCCTGGCACACAGGCTGTCCTGACAGGTAGCCTTGGACAGCATACAGCTTGCACACGGTAGAAGTTTCTCTACAACAGAGAAATGCCAGGGCCACTGAGGTAGCTATTTCAAGGAAATTTCCAGAAATTTAAGGACCATAGGTGTGATTCCATAGACTCAAAGTCTCATTCTTTATGATCCCATCAATGAGGCCCTTCCCTCGATTGGCCTGGGACAGGTATATAGACTGAACACCACAGATTTCTCTCTTTTCTTGAGCAAACAACTCAAAGCCCAGGCTTTTACCTAAAGGGGGACAATTCACCAGGACTAGTCCAAGGTTGGCTGGTTTCAACTGCAGCTGAACACCAATATCTACAAACCCTCAATGGCCAGGCCACCCCGATAACTGCTGGGGTTTTTCACTTCCTGTGTTGTGGGCATCGAGCCTCTAACCGTGACTGAGAAGACAAACAAGACAACCACCCCACTGTGTAATCAAAGGCACAACCCAGGACAGCCCCATCCGGGCATTTTTCCCAGGATGCTGAAGACAGGGACAAGACTAAAAACCCCAGCCACATCTAAAGGAAGCCCAGTCCTTCCATGTTTCTGTAATTATCATCTTCCTTATCACTTTGAATTACAAATAGAAGACTTAAAGGAAGACTAAAACCTTCCATGAAAATATAAACAAAACCCTATTTCTTGGTCATACTTTTATTTTCCTTGTGTGTGTGTGTGTGTGTGTGTGTGTGTGTGCTAGGAAATGAATGAACCCAGGTCTTCACACAGGCTAGGCAAGTGCTCTACCCCAGGGCTACCTCTCCAGGCCCCTTAGTCACATTGATTAAACTAAGTCTGTCATGCTTCTTACATTTGGTTCGGTACAAGTAACTCACATCATCAAGAACCCAGGGCCCTATGCGTGCTAGGCACACCCTCTGCCCCTGAGCTACAGCCCCTGTTCGCAGAGGAATATTTGAAACAAGACCAGAGGGACCATCCTAATCTAGACCACAGCTCTTAAAGCAAGATCCCCCAAGGACTTTCATGGCCAAAGGGCTCGACATGGTCAGAACACAAGAACGCCCTGGTTCCCCAGACTACTACTCCCCTGCTCTAGGGTAGCTCTTGAGTATGCCCCCAGGGCCGTGCCACCATGCAGGAAAGAAGTGGTACTCCAACCAACCCTTCTGATATACCTAGTCCAGCCTCAAAGGAGCCAGTTTTATACTCATTTCCCTAACATATCTATACAATAGCTTGGTTATAATCTATTTGATACCCACAGATTCCATGTGAACAAGGGAGTTAGCTACCCAACATAAATGTTCCATCAAGCTGAAAAGAAATATTCTCCAGAATGCAGTGGCATTCAATTCAAGGCCACAGCAGCCAGGCTACAAAGGCCAGGAGCTTCATTCATATTAAAGCTGACAACCTTGAGCAGCCCCTTTAGGAGCCCTACCAGTCATCCCATCCCATCCTGTCAGAAGCGTTGTCCCTTTCTTCACCAATAAAACTCCAGCTTTCAAAGGGGATTACAGTAAATATCCTAGTATACTAAAGAGTCACCTTCCTCCTGCGATTGTTTTAAGTACTGGTGAGAACACTGATTCACAAAACATGCACTTCTTTCTCCCCTGAGCACCCAGGGAGATAGTGCTCCCTGAGCCCAAAGACTCCAGAAAGTCTGGGAGAGGGTGTGGACAGAATGTTGGGGTCAGTGAACTCACCCGAAGTCTGCGGGTCACCACCATACCTGAGCTATGCCTGTAGGAAATTAAGGAGGTACCATGCCATGCTTCAAAAAGAAACTGGCAGAGTTTGGCCTTTTCCAACACAGAGCACCCACGCCTCTGGAACTACCATCCCCATGCTCTAAAAATGAGACAGCCACAATTCCAAATCGGTGCAGAAGACAATTTCAGGCAGGCTGCCCTCAAAAGTTAAATTCCTCAGGTTTTACCAAACCAGTCTTTACTAACCCAAAACAACACCTCTAAAAATGAGCTAACAGACACCCCTTCCATCCAACCACTCCCACCATACTCGCCTCTAGCACAGATGAAATAATCCCACCCTATTGCCACATCTCTTATCTCACAGGAAACTCGCAGGGTGGCAACAAACGACCCTAGCATGGCGCCCCAGGTGCCGAGAACCGGGTACTGTACTCTATCGCCCCAGGAAAAGCCAAGACACGTGTAAGGCCCTTTATTCAGGCATTTTTGGCCTGGCGCTCTCCTCTCTCAGGTGCGCACACACGAACACATTCGGCGCTACACACACAGCTGGAGACCGTTTCTTCTCTCCAAAGAGCGACCTATCTCCAGTTCTGAGCCGCATCCCGGGACCCACGCCTCCTCCTGCCTCCGCGCCTCACACGTGAGTTAGTGCGTCCAGACAGAGCCAGGAGAAGGGCGGATGTGGGGGAGGCCAGGGACTAGGGAAGCGGGAACTCCGAGTGGGAGGTGGGATGGCAGGGCAAATGCAGTGCAGGCTTCTGGGGTGTGGAGAGCGCATGAGAAAGGCAGCGGCGAGAGAAGCTTAGAGAGGGGAGGGAGAGAGGGGGTCACTCACCCAGGGTTTTGACAGCGATCTGCCTGGTGAGGGGCGGCGGCAGGTTGATGCACACCAAGTCCACGTCCTGATGCAGCAGCACCTCGTCGATGCGGCTAGTGTAGAAGGGGACGCTCATCTCCTTGGCCAGCTCCTCCGCTTCTTCCTGCGTGCGGCCCCACAGCGCCTTCACCGCGAAGCCCTCGTCTTTCAGCAGAGGGATGATGACACGGGCCGTGAGGCTGGTGCCGAACACGCCCACCCCGGGAAGCATGGCTGCTCCGGTCCGCCGGGTCCTGCTTCTGCCCGCGTCTCGAGGCGCACAGGCGCGCGCACACCTCTCCAGTCGGCTCCGCACCCGCCTCCTGCAGCCGACCGCGCCGAGCACCGGGCAAGACGCCCGGGGGCCGAGAGCGCACCGAGCTGCAGGCGGAGCAGGCTCGGGGCGCCTCAGCGCGGTGACTGCGGCAGTGTCCGCCACGCGGGGCTCCTGTCCTTCCTGGAGGCAGTGGCGGGGACTCCCCTAGGGCGCCCGAGACCCCGAAGTCCCTCGGATCCCGGGCTCAGGCAGCGCCCCCGCTGCGGCGCCGGCCGGCTCCGTGCGCCCCGCCGAGGCCGCTCCATGGCCCGCTCATCCCCACGGGCGCGTCGCCGCAGCCGCGCACCGCCGCTCTCCCGCGTCCTTCCAGCAGCCGGCCAGTCGCACGCGCGGTTCTACACCCTCCGGCCACGGACTCGCTGTCTCCCCCGCCCTGGGTTCCGAATGAAATCAACCAGCAGCCACCAGGAGGCCGACCGAGCACGCGGCCAGGAGCGCGCGCAGCGGCGACCACGAGCCGGCGCCAGGCTCTTCACTCTGCCATATTCGCTCGCTGATCCGGCGGCCTCGGCCCCAGGCTGGCGAGGGCTCCGGGATCCCGCGGGGACGAGGGCGGAGTTGCCGAGTTTGGCTGTCAGCGGCCGGGGTTCCTGCACCGCCCTCGCCGCAGCACAGCGCACCATTGGCCCTGCGCTCCGCCCCCGCCCGCCCGCGGCTGGGGTGCGCGCGGCGCGGAGCCGGAGCTCAACCTGGCTCCGCCCCTGCCCCGCCCCACTCGCCTCCGGCCGCTCCGCGTCTCCCCTTTCTCGGCCCTGGCCTCCGCCTTCTCTCCCCGCTTCTCAGCAAGCCCCGCCCCAAGCAAGCAAATAAATCTATCAAAGGCGGGCGCGCCCTAATAGGCTGCTAGCCGGTCCCTTGGAAGAGCTCTGCGGGCGCCCTGGCCGCGGGGAGACCAGGGGACCCAGCGCGGTGTGAGCAACGGCTAATTACAAGCTCCGCTCCTGGAGGGCTTCCTACGTGCCGCGCACCACGCTAGGGAAGCCTTCCAGACATTTTCCTTTTAAACAGCCAGTTAACCCTTAAGTTATTGAAAACCCATTTCACCGATGGTGGAGATGAGCCCGGGGAGGATAAATGCCTTGCTCAAGGAGATACAAATGAGCAACAACAGGCCTATGATTGGAATCCAGAGTCGACGCTGAACCCCAGAGTTTTATCTTCTACGCAAGCAGGCGCGGGCCGCCGGCCGCCTCTCCGGCGGCGCACGCACGGTCCGCCGCCTTCCAGGCCGTCAGGTTGGGCAGGCTCCGCTTTCCCCCTCCCCAGGCCCGTGCCCAGCTGACCCCTCGGCGCTGGCCGCGGGGGCTGGGTCGGGGTCTCCGAGCGCCCGCAGCACGCGCGTCTCGCCCTGGCTTCCCAGGCAGATGTGCAGCTCTGGCCAGGTGCCACGCCCGCTCTGGCCTCTGTTTGCGCGGCTTCTTGCGCGCTTTGCCGCACCCGCGTGGCCCCACCTGCCGGGGACGGGGAGGATATTAGGGGTTCCCGCCATCTGCGCACCTAACTCCACGGCCTCCTGGTATGTGATAGGCGCTCAGTCACCGTTTAGTAAACGGACGGCAGCTTATTGAATGCCTGCTTGGCACCCACTGGGTCGCACGAGGAGATACGCAAGGCTGAATGACACGGAGACCTGACCTTTCGCTCAGTGTCTCTAAAAAGTCACGGGTCACATCCTGTTCTGTTACCTTCAGCGCGCCGTTCAGTGTGGCACGTGGTCTGCTTCAATGCGGGTGGGAATCGTGACCGTGCACGCGTTAAAGCAACTTGTAACAGCTGCCGGGGGCGGGGCGCGTGGAGGGAGCGGAGACCAGGAAGGCTTAGGTGTGGCAAGGCGGGCACGAAGCTGACCTCGGGACAGAGGAAGAAAGGACACTGAGCGCTGGGTGGCCTGAGGAGGGTTGAGACGCTCTGGTGTGGACCGTCTGCTACTGCGCAGAGGCAGGACCGCCTCCTGGACAGGGGTGTGGGCGGGGGTGTCAGAGGGGCGGGTCCACGGTCACTAGTCAGAGGCGGCAGGGCAGGCAGGCTGCGAGACGACCAGGGCTCCAGGCTGACTCCTGCTGTGCCATGCACTAGCTGTGGGACCTGGGACTTACATTCCCGCACCTTTTTATGTCGCATCTGCAAAATAAGGGTGATAATATGGACTTCAGAGGATTCTGTGAAACCGTCTTAAACTTAGTACACCTATAGAAATGCTTTATGTAAATATATATAACCTGCATTGTACATTATTCATTTATTCCATATAGCTTATTTAAATGCTCTATTTAAATGCCAACCTGCACCTATACCCCATATACATGCTCTTATAAACACAGGTAAATATAGAGGGTGGCCTGTTACCAGCATCACTCCGTGATGTGAGAGACAACTGAACACATGCAGCGGTATCAAGTTAGTAAGAGTTTTGTTTGTATTCTTTTAAAGGAAACTCTATCCTCCCTTCCTGCGACTGAAAATAGACCTGTCTTCATAGCATGGAAAGAAAAGAGAACGGGCCCCTTGGATTCTCCCTACAAATCTGTACAATGATCATCTTCCTCATTTCACAGATGACAAAACCAAATCCTGGCAGCAACTGAAACTTACAGATCTAAAGCAGAATGCTTCATTTCATATCAAACCCCCAAAAGGTTCCTTCCTCCAAAACAAAGGCTTCCCCTGCCCAGCAGGTGGCCAAAGCCCTTACCCCAGGAAGGTTGCTGCTTCTCACATACCCACTATGGTTAGCCAGTAACACATCCTGTCTGCTCTGCTTGCAAAAGCTGCGCAGTCTGACCATTTCTCCCCACCCGAGTGGGGGTGCCTGGGTCAGCACGGTCAGTATCTGGACTGCTGTCCCCAATGGGCTACCTGCTTCCATATTGTGCCTCAAAGTCCGTATTCTCTGTGCAAAAGCCAGCGTGATCTTCAGAAGCTGGGTTAGATCAAGGCCCACCAGCTACCAGGAATTCTCATCTCACTGAAACCACTCCAGCATCCTCAGGTGACCGGAAGGGCCCTCCCTGCCCTGACCCTGGGCTCGCTATCTCAGTGCCTCCCATTTATCATCCCACTCCTTGCATTCCAGCTCGTCATGAGCTGTACAGACTGGGCTTGCTCTGACCTCAGCTGTTTTCCCTGCCTGACACCCTCCCTCCTACACACACACACACACACACACACACACACCCATGGGATTCTCACTTCACTCAGGCCTCTGCCTAAATGTCCCCCCTCAGATGCCTTGCTGGACCACTTCCTCTGAAACGACATCCTTGTCATGTTTCATGCCTTTATCCAGCTTTATGTTCTTTATAGCTCTTATCCCTGCTTCATAGTACATCACAGATCTGTTTATCGCTCATTTTCCTAGACACTTGACCAACTCTCTAAGGTCAGAAGTGTGTGTCTCATTCACTTCTGAATGCTCAGCACCTAAAATTGTCCAGGACACCCACTCGACATTGAGTGTACTTTGAATGAATGCTTGCACATTCTAACCGCCGTGTGCTATGGGGATTGTATGAGCCGCTGCTCTGATTGGGAATGATTGAAGTGTGCACCCTAGTTTCATACAGCGAAATTCAGCCCCCATTTGTGGAGGTGTTAGAGTGAAATCTCATCTGACTGCGATGTTGAGAGACGAGGTCTTTGGGAGGAGATTAGGATGAGACAGGGTCCTCAGACAGAGCCCCCATGACCAAATCCTGGTGGCTTTGTTAAAAGGAGAGACCACGAGATGCACACCTGTGTGCGCTGTCTCTGGCATGTGCTGCCCTGCACCTTTGGACTCTGGACAGGAAGGCCATTGCCACACGTGGGCCTTCAACTTGGACCAGACCTGTGAGCTAAAATACACCTCTTTTCCTTCCATTCACCCACTCTGTGGTGGTGTTATTTGCAATAGAAAAGAGACTAACAGAGTTAATATTCATCAGGGCCTCAGAACTGTGCCAAGTGTCATGGGCAAGAATGATCTTGGCACTGGCAATGCCAGGCTGAGCAGGGTAGAGATCAGCCCTCAGGCTGCTTATGACACAACTCAGCGTCCCAGGAGGAGCTGCTCCGGCAGGCTCCAGAGCAGAGGAGCCCTTGGAAAGCAGAAAGAGAAGCCTGTGGAGAGAAGCGGGCTGGACCTTAGCTTTGAAGGACTGGCTGGAGTTGGCCAGAAGAAAGGAGAGTCTCTGGACAGGGAGGTGAGGATTGCGACACCTGGGGAGGGCAGGGCCAGTGTGGAGGCACCTGGACACGGCGGGGAATCGCTGAGAGATTGAAAGCACAGAAAGAAAACTCACAGCAGAGTTTTAGAACCATGACCACTGAGCGTGGTAGGTCGAGGGTGTCCTGGGAGAGGCCCGGGACTGCCCCAGGGGAGAGACCACTGCAGTCACCCCAGCGTGAAGAGGGGGGCAATTATTTCTTTTAATTTGGAGACAGGAAGTTTAGTCTTACTGGCCTTGAACTTGCAGTTCTCCTGCATCTGCCTTCTGAGTAGCTGGGATTACAGGCATGCGCCACCACACCCAGCTCTGTGTTTTAATTCACATTCTTCAATTGAAACGCTCTTAAATTCTGGATCCCAAATCCCACCCACTACCCCCTGACATTTGGACTTTCAGGCAGTTGTGAATATAGGCCTAAGATTTTCCTGCCCCTTGGTGGTTTGGATGGTGAATGTTCCTAAAGGCCCTGTGATAAAGGCATGGTCCCCAGGGTGGCATTTTTCGGGGATGGAGGAACCTTTAGGAGCTGGAATCTAGTGGGAGGCCTCAGGCCGCTGGGGTGTACACTTGAAGGGGACTGTGGGACCCCAGGTCTTCATCCTCTATTTGCTTCCTCACCAGGAGGTGAGCATTTTTCTGTGTGCTCCCTGCCATTGCCCCCTGACCTGACCCCAGAGGCCCAAAGGAATGGGTCTGCCCAGACTTGGACTATAACCTTCAAGATAGTGCACCAGAATATTTTCTCTTTACCCACTACCCACCTCAGGCATCTCATTATCAGGATGGGAAGCTAACTATTACACTTTGCAACCCATGATCTGGCTGCCAATCTCCACTATTTTATTTGCATCTAAGTGAACATTTTTAGGTTCATTTGAATGTCCTTTGAAATAATTGCCATGGGACTCTAATGTTTAAGACACTCTGTGCCTTTTAGAAATAAAAATAGGGTTCACTTTTTATTTCTAGATCTAGGATGATACTAAAATGGAATTTCCTGGATTAACTTAGTCTAAGAACCATTTTAATTTTTTTCACTGAAAAAGTCGTGTGTACATATTATAGAATTTTCAAAAAGTAAGATGAAGTCAGCCTTGATCTCACCATCCTGGCATACTGTAAATAATTTGGCTTATTGGCTTCCACAATTTTAGGAAATATGTTACTATTTTAATGAAATATAAAAGAGAAAGTTTTGCTATTTACGTTTTTGTTCTTGACACAAAGTAGAACTGGCTTTGGTTATTTTTATCAAAGCATTCATAAATATCCAATGCCCTTATTAATCTTAATATCTGTGCAATGGCATACTTTTGCCCTTTGGAGAAGTATCTGTTTGCCGAGTTGAAAAGTGAAATCTTCACAACTGTTAAAGACCCTAGGACAGGCGGTTCTACCAAACAGCTCTAATAATTATAGCACTGAAATGTATTCCTGATCTTGTCGGCAGCTGCAGAGTTCTTGAAAGTACCCAGTCTGCTTGCTTGTTCTTAGGAAAAGCCACCAGCTGAGCCCCACACAAGGGACACTAAGCTAAGCACTTTGCATATGTTATCTCCTTGGTTCTTTCAGGTAGGCACAATTATTCCCGTGATTGCAAATAAAGACACTGGTTTTTTTTGTTTTTTTTTTTTTTTTTTTGAAGTTAAGTAATTCCCTGAAGTCATAAAGGCAAGCATTTGATCTAAACCACCTGACTCCAAAATCATAGCACACACCTGCAGGCACTCTGTCCCTCCGGGGCAGGGCAGCACGCTTAATTCCCCTGAGTATGAGGTCACCCATGCTGCCACCCACATTGGGAAAAGCAGTGTTCGGCTTGGGCCCCTGCTCTTTGGAGCATGCGCACTGGGCAGGATTGGCCACCAGCATCTTTGCCTGGCTCCTGCAGTAGATTCTCACACTTTTGACTCTCCTGACCCTGAAGTAACCAGAAGCAACAGTTGCCTCACTGACTTGTCCCAAGCCCTCAGTGTGTTCCCACTTGCACTTTCTATACTGGCTAAAATTCTTGGTAGGGCCCAGGAGGCTCTGGGCTCATTGAGTTCATACTCTCTGCTCCAGTCACACAAGTCTTCATGGTCCCCTAGGCTTGCCTGGTTCTCTCCTGCCTCAGGACATTTGCACTTTCTATCCCTTCCCCTGGGAACTCTTCCCTCTGCCTTGGGTGCTCTCCCCACCTCACTTTTGGCCATTTGGGTTCAACTCAGATGTAGAACCTCCCCACCCTCTGAAAGTAGCAGTCCTTCCCAAACCCCCCCAGTCGCTCTCTGACAATACCTTAATTTCATTTCTGGCACTTGCCACAATCTTTGAATCTGGTTCCTCAGTCATGGTTCTACCCCGGCTGGAATGTAAGCCCTGGGGCGGGGGGTTTGCCCATTCTTTTACTGTTATTCTTGGAGCTGAAAACACTACTTGGTATCTCACTGAGAGAGGACAAAAACCTCTTGAATGAATAAATCAGCCACATAGGCACTGAAACGTTTTTAATGTCATGCAATAGCACAGGGAAGTGCTTATTGCATAATGTTAGGTTTAAAGGGCCAAAACAATATTGCATACATAATATCATTACAGCTACAGCTGGTCCCCAGCTTAGGATGGTTCAACTCAGAATTTTCTGACTTTACAATGATACAATAAGCATTCAGCAGAAACATTATTGGGAACTGGGAATTTGGATGTTTTCCTTGACTAGGAAGATGTGGTCCAGTCCTCTCTGGTGATGCCAGGACAGTGGCAGCAAACACAGTTCCCAGGTCAGCCACGAGATGGGATGGGCATCAGCTGACACTCCACGGGGTGCTGTGCTGTTAACATTTTGGCATATAGGTACCCAGTGAGTTACAGGAGACATTTAACACTTTGGTATAAACTAGGTCTTGTGTTAGGTGATTCTGCCCAACTGCTGGCTGATAGGAATGTTCTGAGCGTGTTTCAGATAGGCAAGGCTAAGTAAGCTCTGGTGTTTGGTAGGCTAGGCCTACCTCTTGCAGGGAAATGAGTAGATAGAAATATTACAGGCAGTCGGACAGGGCTGGGCCCCTGAGGGAGCCCATATGGGAGACAAGATAGCTTGCAGCTGTGGGCCAGACCTCAAGACAAAAACTGAAACAAATGCACCCACATACCTCCCTAGGGATTCATATTCTAAATAAGTAGCTATCACTTTGAAAAAGCCAGGAAGAGCCACTAACCCAACCCCCTCCAGGAATAGCCCCTGCTCTGTATTCATGTCTGCTTGCTAAGTGACTCGCTTCCCCATTTGCTCCTGATTTAATCAGTTTTACCTGAGCACTTATACTCATAATCTTATTGGTTGATCAGTGAGTGCCCATATTTCCCACTGTGGACCCACCTTACTTGTGGTTTTGCTCTATAAAACTCCTAGAAAAGGCAGGGTCCTCGGCAACCCACTCGGGCCCCCTTCTGCTCCTCTCTGGGACAGAAGCTTTCTTTCCCCAATAAATACATTCTGCTGTTAACCTCTGTTGTTCCAAAAATTCATTCTTTGATTTTAAGGAACCCAAATTCGTCCCAGATATCTCTCAGGTTGGGAGTTTCTTTCCCCTAAATCATACCTATTACATGCATTCTCCATTTACAATATTTTCAGTTCACACTGGGTGTATCATCTGTAACACCACTGTAAGCTGTGGAGCATCTGTATTTGTTTTTGCTTTTGTATTGTAGTAAAATATACATAGCATGAAAATCAACACGGGGCTGGGGATTTAGCTCAGGGGCTGGGGATTTAGCTCAGCGGCAAAGCTCCTGCCTGGCAAGTGCAAGGTCGTGAGTTCAGTTCCCGGTACCGGAGAAAAACCAAAAAAACAAACAAACAAACAAAAGAAAATCAACATGTTAACCGCCTGAAGTGTACAATTCAGCATCATTAAGTGCATTCATGTTGTTGTGCATATCACCATATACCTGTATTTTAAAGACTAACCTCAAAATTGAAAAGTAACATACTCCAGTCTTCATTTCTCTGTTCTCCTTTTTTTTTTTTCTTTCTTATATTTGTCATGAGGGAAGTGTATTTAAATGTGTTAACTAACAGTTCTGGTGCCATGCATTGAAATCCAATCCCACATCTGGGTGCTGCATGTGAATTCATCAGGGAGAGGCGAGCGTGGCTGGTCCTGAGTCCACTGAAATACCAAAAATAGTAGTTGACTCAATGGCTCACAGCATCGGGTTTCTTATCTATGTCCCTCTCAGGGCTAAAGGAGCATGGTCACTCTGGGAAACACCATCCCCCAATGCAGCTTTGGAGAGTGGATCTAAAGTAGGGTAGTAGTTCCCTTGTCACTGTGGGATACGTCCCAAGCTACTGGGGGTGCCCCAAACCTTGTATTGTACTGAACCCTCTATGTACTACATATGTTTTTTACCTATCCTGTACATACCTATGTACAATCCAGATTGATTTATAAATTAGGCGCAGGAGGAGATTAATAATAGCCAATGATAAAATGGAATAATCATAACAAGATGCTGTAATACAAGTTATCTAACACTTATGAATTGTTTCTGGGATTTTCTATTTAATGTCTCGACTAAGACTGAACAGGAATTATGTGAAACTGCAGAAAGTGATACTGGCTACAGGGAGGCCCCTGGGAACACAGAGGGGCTTGGGGGTCGCAGAAGCTTGGGGTGCAACACACAGAACTTTTCCTCTGGATGTGTGAGGGTCCTCAGGTCCTTGGCTCTTTGCCATGTGAAATTTCTGCAGAAATGCTGGTCAGTGTGACTCTCTGTTGCCTTGGTTGACTTGGCAAGGGGCATAGGGACAGATGATATAATAACTGTATAAACAGACAGGAAAGCACCACAGTACTTGTTCTGGGCAGCTCAGTAAATACCTAGGAAAACTATTTAGCATCCCAAACCATTAACATGCTACTTACACAGGTTTTGCATGCACACGGCCACACACACACACCCACACACACTCACGCACACAGAACCCCTTTGTAACAGTCTGGCAGAAAGTAAATGCTATGTAAAATTTTAATTTGCAGTTGAGAGAATGACATGGCCTTTGCAATTCAAATTAAGAGTTTTTCATCACACTGTGCCCATAAATATGTATAATTATAATGTAGCAATTAATTTTAAAATTTTTAAATAAAATTAAAAAACAAATTAAGAACACGAAGTATGCTCCTTCGATTTCTAACTTCCTTCTCTTTTCCAGACAATAACTATTTATTGTTTGCTATGCAACCAATACATTTTAGAGAGGACTTCACCAAACAAATTGACAAACAGGCTTTATTTTTTCCTTTTTTGTCTCTTTGGTCCTGGGCTTAAACCCAGGCTCTCCACACATGCTCTACCACGGAGCCCCACCCCCGCCCTGACAGCACGGTCTTTATAAGCACGTCCAGAATGTTTACACACTTGACCACTTCTTAGGCCTCAAAGGAAATCAGAAGGAATTCCAAAGGCCTGTCATCATGAGATCGTGTTCCTTTACCACAAGGTCCTGCAAATAGAAACCAACAGTAGAAATATATTCTTCCACCTCATAAATCTGACAATTAAAAATGCCATTCTAAGTAACCTCTGGATTGAAAAGGAAACCGTGATGAGAATGAAAATTATTTAGAATGAAGCACAGCAGATCCACACATATAAAAACAGACAAGGAGGGTTGGAAGTCTAGCTCAGCGGTAGGGCGCTTGCCTGGTACATGCCAGGGCCTGGGTTCCACCCCCAGGACTCCCACCACGCACATGTACCCCCCACACCAGATGGGTGAGGTACAACTGCATTATACCCAAGGGGAAATTTAGGGTTTAGATATATTCTTTAAAATGATAAAAGAGATTTGAAATTTAACAAAGTAAACATTCAATTTAATCTAGAAAGAGAAGATGATAATCTAGAAAAATCTAGAAGAAATAAATATAAAAGCAAAAATAATAGAATTGAAAGCCAAGAATATAAAAATTATTAATGAAGCCAAAATGTTGTCAATTAAAAACTACAGTTGCCAGGCATGGTGGCGCATGCCTGTAATTCCAGCATTCAGGAGGCTGAGGCTGAGACTGAGGCTGAGGCTGAGGCAGGAGAATCTCTGTGAGTTCCAGGCCAGCCTAGCCTACATAGCGAATTCAAGGCCAGTCTGAACTACATAGCAAGATCCTATCTCAAAATACAAAACAAAAAAATTAAAAACTAAAATTAATAAAATGGACAAGTATCTGGGAAGACTGATTAGAAACAAGAGAAAAAGCAAAACAACATAAGGGACCAAAAATGCTATAATCAAATTCCTGCCTATAATTTTGAAAACCTTCATAAAATGAGCAATAGATCCAAGAGGAAAAAAGCAAATGTGACTATGCCAATAATTTTTAAAATAACTGAATGACTAATCAAATATCTTGCTTCAAGAAAGATAACAGTTTCAGACAACTTTATATGTAAATTTAACCAGAACCGTGAGGAATACATAATTCCTGTCTTAGCCAAATACCTCTAAATTGTAGAAAAGAAAATGCTACCTAATTTTCTTAGGTTAATATACGTAGAAAAGGGTGGAGTTTTTATGTAGTAACAAAAAAGTATATGCCAATGTCATTTACAAATACAAAAACTTTAAATAAAGCGTTAGCAAATCTAATTTCACAGTACCTATAAGAAGCTCAATGCACTAAGATTTATCCTGTAAAAATGTATATGGTTTAATATTAGAAAAACATATCAAGTTATTTTCACATGTGAAGATGTTAAAAAGAAGAAAACCTTGCAACCCACTCAGGTCCCCTTTTGTCCCTCTCTGGAACAGAAGCTTTCTTTCCCTCAGTAAATATATTCTGCTTTTTTAAAAAAAATACATTGCTGGGTGTGATGGTGCATGCCTGTAATCCCAGCACTCAAAAGGCTGAAGCAGGAAGATCACTGCGAGTTCAACACCAGCCTGGGCTACATGGTGAGACCCTGTCTCAAAAAACCAAAACTAAATGAATATATAAATACATTATATTAAAATATCACACTGTATCCATAAATACTTTATGTACAGTTATTACATATCTACTATAAATAATTCCAATAAAATGAAAAATCAGCATTCAAAAAAAGAAAACTGTATTATCTCAACAAATATGAAAAAGATAGGAAATAAAATTAAACACATTCATTAAGAATATAATATACTTAGCAAACTTATACTAGCCAGAAACTTTAATTTGACACAGATATTTCAAGATAACCTATATTAGCATAGATTTTGTTTTTTCAGTACTGGGCATCAAAACCAGGGCCTTTGGACTGAGCTTCATTTTATTTTTCATTTGAGACAGGATCTCACTAAGCTGTGAAGTTGCCCAAGCTGAGTTTGAATGTATGATCCTCCTGCCTCGGCCTCCCAGAGCGCTGGGATCATAGGTGTGCAACCCCACACCTAGCCTTGTCACAGCTATCGATGAAAGTTTAAACACATTCCTATCAAAATCAGGTACACTGTCTCTCTTACTACCCAACATCGTTCAGGAGGTCCTGGACAATGAATGATAAGGTACAAGCAAAGGAGCAACAAAGGAATCAGAGAAAGAGATAACCTGGTTGGTGCCTACTTGAAATTGAAGAGAGTCTGTGTGCAAACTATTGAAGGACTCAGCAGTGATATGCAAAACAAAACTCAAGAACATTCCTAATGCTATGAATAACCTATTAGAAAATGTAGTAAAGAAAAATATGCAGATATTGATTCTGTATGTCTGAGAGGCAAATATGCCAGCTACCCTTACCTGCTCATTACTAAACATGTCCTGAAATGTCCCACCATACCCTGCAAATATGTACAGTTACTATGTGCCAACCAAAAATAAAAATGTTAAGAAAGAATTTTTTAAAAGAAGGAAATTATGTTGATGAGAACTTTAAAGGTAGAACATAAACAGTTAAAAAGAAAAACTCAGTACTTGGACAGAAGAAAGATTCAGATTTCCTTCTCCAGATAAAAAGAAAAGTTCAATATAAGGCGTGAAAGTCAGCCTTTTGGCACTGCAACAACATACCTGAGAACATCAGCTTAAAGGAGGGAAGGTTTCAGTCCGTAGTCCCTTGGCTCTATGGTTCTGGACCTGGGGTGAGCCAGAACAACATGGTAGGAAGCACATGGTGGAGCAAGGTGAGTCATCTCCTGGTGACCAGGAAACCAAAAATCAGGGAGGGGCAAGGTAGACCATTTCAGGGTCATGCTGGTGGCTACTTCTGGGCTGGACTCAGCTGGTCACTAGGATGCTGAGCTTCTGTCTTTCTTGTCTGTCTTCCCCCGTGCTCCGTCTTCCTGTGGGTCCCACCAGAATGATAGCTAGACTATTCATGGTGGCTTGAAGCATCAAGAAAACATGAACAAAAGCTCACAGGTCTAAGGTTTAGGCAAGAAACTGACAATTTCACTTCCAGCTCACCCTAACTGCGAAATAAGTCACATGGTAGCCCAGATGCAAGGGGGCTACAGAGGTGTGGTTTATACCCAGGGGCCTTTCGCACATCCAGATCTGTAAAGAGCAGCCTTGGTGCAGGATGGATAAATAAAATCAATGGATCGGCACAGACGTCTGCTCGTGAGGGAACTTGATGAAAGAGAATCGTCACTGTACATCACCGAGGGGAAGACCCTTTAAGGGTAGACCCTTAAAGTAAAGCAAGACAGGTGGAGCAAATGACTTTTTGGATCCAGGATGGATTTCAGTGGCTGCAGTTCTTTGACCGCCTCCCTTCAAGATGTGGAATGGAATTCCCCTCCCGTTGAGTCAGGGCAGACTCAGTGACTCACTTCCAATGGCTAGAACAAAGCGGAAGTGACAGTGTGTGACTGTAGAAGCTATGTCATAAAAGGCCTGCAGCTTCCTGCTCGCTCACTCTTGCTTTCTATCATGCACGGATTGCTCACTCTGGGAGAAGCCAGCTAACAAATCATGAGGTTCTGAGCCAGCCTTGTGGAGGGCCCCTGTGAGGGAGGAAGAGCAGAGACTTCCGGCCAACAACCATGCAAGTGCGCCATCTTGGAAGCACATTTCCTCTCCCCACACCTTCCCTGACCCTAGAGACTTCAGATGTTTCTTGGGCCACTTGTGCTGCTAAAATAAAATACTGTGGGCTGTGCGTCTTAAACTACACACATTTATTTCTCATACTTCTGGACGCTAGAGTCTGACATGTCAAAGTGCTGGACCCTCCAGTGTCTGGTGAGGGCATGTATTAACTGGTTGTATCCTTACATGATGAGGTACGGAGGTCTCGTCTCTTCCTATTCTTCTAAGGGCCCTCAACCCATCTTTGGGGCTTCCCTCTCATGACCTTGCCTGAATCTCTCAGGAGCCCTACTTTACACACTGGAGATTTTGGGCTTTCACCTATGAATTCTGAGGGAACACAAACAATAAACATTCAGTCCATAGCAGGATGACTATGACCTCTAGGCCAGGACCACCCAGCTTAGCTGCTCCCAGTTTCCCTCAGGAATTGGGAGATAATAAATGCTCCATTGATGTTCAAATGATTTAAGCTGCTACATTTGGGGACAGATTGATATGCGGCAATAGTTAACTGATACAATACCTCCAGGTTAAGAGAAATTAAATTGGAGTCCCTCTTCATGCCTCACACACACAAAGAACTTTTAGAACTTTAGAACTTTTTAGAAGATAATATGGGAGAATATTTATAGGTATAGAAAATATTTCTTAAATCAGATACATGCACACAGACATACAGTGTAAACTGAAAGACATTAAAATCAAGTTTCAATGATAAATGACAACTAGGGAGAAATATTTGCATCGTATAGTATCCATCCCATAGAAAGAATCCCATTAAATGACTAGGTAAAAGATAAACAACCCAATAGAAAAATTGGTAAAATAAATAAGTAATTCATGAAATAGGAAATATAAGTGACCACTAAACCATTTCAGTATCAACCAGAGCAAGCAAATTAAATTGGGATAAGACTCTATTTTCCATTCATCAGGCTGGCAAAATCAACAAATTTAAAATAGCAAGGGTTGCTCTGGATGTAGGTAAACAGGAATTCTCATACATTGCTAGTGGAAGCACAAATCATCACAGCCTTTACCGAGGCAATTTGGCAGGAGTCAATAAAACTGAATAGGTACATACACTGTGATTTGATAAATTCTACCTTTAGCAGTTCCAGGTGCCACTGAAAATTTCTGGCAGAGTTTCACAAGAAGGCCATACCAGGATAGTTACGGCTGAATAGAATGTAGTAGAGAATTATTGGAAACAACCTAAATGTCCATTCATAGAATGGATAAATAAAAGATGGTATATTTAAACCAATATTATACAGGAATAAAGGAATAAAATATGATTGAAGATATCATATGGATTGATCTAGGAATATAACTTGTTGCCAGATATATTGAGGTATAACTGACTAATGAAATTGTACATAATATTGATTAGAATAAAAATATGGTTATTCTTATATTGATCTTAAAATCATGTATAAACAATCCTTGTTCTTATGGCTGTGTGTGTGATATTTGTGTATATCTCAAATAAATTGGAAGAACTTTCAGTCCTGTGCATTGAACCCATGTGTAAATAGCTGGGCACCTGTAGTGCCAGCTATTTGGAATCTTTAATCCTTAGAATATAGACTTTTTGTTTCCCAACACCAAGCTAAAAAAATCACATACGTGTGTATGTGTGTGTATTATATATGTGTGATGTATATATTTCAAGAATGAATGGATGTGTATTGAGTTAATGTCTATAATATGTACTTATGGGCAGTCCTAAGGTCCCATTTGCTCTAGATTCATGGAATTTCCTCTTATTTAGGAGTCATATTGTTTTATTTATAACAGTCTTTGAAGGCACTGAGAATTGCTCACCAAGTTCTGGCTTCCCTTCTGAAATAAGACTCACCTTCACAGAGGTCACAGGATGCCCAAAGTATCCGCAGCAGCATCTGCATGAGTTCCCTGGATACTTCCTGCCGGGTGCATGGGCCACTGACCAATGAGCCCCTGGGTTAAGGGCAGTCATTTGCTCAAGGTGGCATTGCCATGCTCTTCCAGGGCCTCCAGAAGTAGAACTATCAGTTCCATTTTTAGTTAGTTCATCATTTATGAACAGTTCAGGATACCTCCCCTTTCTGGGTAAGTTTTGTTTTTAGTCACTTTCAATTTGCAAAGGGCTCTTTTTTGGGTCAAACAAGTGACCCACCTCTTCTTGCCTAGGTTGCAGAAAAATGAACAAAACTTCATCTTTACTGAGTATTTCTAGAAGGGTCTGTGGAATAATTCAGAGTCGCAACTCAAGCACCTTGGGGTCTGTCCACCATTGACTGGGAGACACTCACTAGATGTAGCTGGGAACACAGTCATTCATGTAGTAATTACATTGAAACACTCTGTGAAGATCAGAGTGCAGGATTTTTATTGGCAACATCTGAGATAGTGGCTTCAACACAACACTTTGAAAATAGAAGCTCAGGTTGGAACCCCAGGTATGGAAGCATGAGACTGGTGCAGAGGCTTTGAATGACAGATACACCATGTCCAAGTGAGCAGTGGATGACAAGGACCAACAGACCCTGGACTGTGGACACAGCCAATTAGAACGTACTTAAACCCACACATGTTCATTACTCTACTACCTGCTAGGCACTGTGCTCAACACTGAGGGCAAGAAGTCCTGATTTCTGTCTCTTTGGGACAGGCTGTCGCTATGCAGTTCAGGCTGGCCTTCAACTCACTATGCAGCCCAGGCTGACCTCAAACTCACAGCAATCCTTCTGCCTCAGCCTCCCACGTGCTGGGATTATAGGTATGTACCACCACTCCTGGCTGAAGTCTTGATTTCTGGATCACATCTCTACCAAACTTCTGCTAAGGAGGGCAGCAGACACCAGCCCTCCTCTACCAGCTACAGGGTGAAAGAGAATGAGTCAAGATGAAGGAAAATGATAGTCTCTCTCCATCACTGTGGCCACCTTCTGTTGGCTGCTTTGGCCTACAGGTCCCTTACCTGAAAATCAAAGGGTCTTAGCTACTAGCATGTAGGTGTTGAGGCGCTGCCTGGCACTGTGTAGGACCATTCCGGAACTACAAGGCTGTGTCTTAGGGGAAAAGAGAAACTGAAAAATTCACTGACTCAGTAGATTATTTTAAAATATGCACCCAAAAAGTAGTCTGTGCTGGAAGTCCAGATCAGTCCCTGTCTGGATCTAGAAAGCAGTAGAGCACCTTTCCTCTTCTTCCCTCTGACCCCGTCTACATCACATCTTTGTAACACCTGTGTGTCCTTGGGTTCATGGTCATGCAGAACACTGTCTGAAAGGTGCCTCCAAAATTCAGCCACTGCATTTTCTCTCGGGGTACAATGGAAGCACTACGTCCACTGTGTGGAGATCTAACTACCCAAATACACTCGTACTGGACAGCATGCCAATCTCATTAATATTCATGAGCTAACCACAGACTTGGGAGCTTTGAGCACTTGAGTTTAGTCTTCCAAAATCTCACTACGTAGATACTCGTAACAGGAGCATATAGCTCAGTGGTAAGCAAGTGAAATGCATACAATACACAGGCACTCCTTAGCATCTATGGAGGATGGGTTCTGGTACTTCCCGTAGATATCAAAACCCAGAGATATTCAAGTCTCTTATATTAAATGACATAGTATTTACCCTGAACCTATACGCACCCTCTTAGATACTTAAATCATCTTTGGTGGCTTATAATACCCAACACAATGTCAATGATATGGAAATAGTTGTTACTATATTGTTTAAGGAACAAGGTAAGAAAAAGTCTGAGCTCAATGCTCAGTGCAGGCACCACCAGCCACCATCATAGCCTAATGACATAGCGCAGGAATCTGACTCAAACATTGCTTAGGCAAGTCCTGCAGAGAGACCCAGGAGCTGGGACACAGCAGGAGGAGACAGCAGCTCATTTCTGCACCTTGCTGCCTTCATGTGGATCCAGTCCAGGGCCAAGCAAGCACCAAATTTGTGTTTTATTTTCTGTAAATTTCTGGAATTTTTTAAAAAATATTTTTGATTCAAGAGTGGTTGAATCCATGGATGTGGAACCTATAGCTACAGGAAACTGACTGCACTTTATTATTTGAAGACTTGGAAATTTTCTACAGTATATTTGAGTTCTAATCTCATGTCAAGACTGTGTCAAGATTCAGAAAACTATATTGCTCTAGAAAAGAGACGACCTGTCTGAAGATAAGTCATTTAAACTAATAAAGAAGTCTCTTTTAAATGACTAGTAACTGTTATTTATCTATGAAGAAAGCTGTAAGCATCCTTATCTACTATAATGAGGGGACCAATTGGTTAACTGTTTTGCTCTAAGCTAAACTGTTTACACTAATGTTCATTTTAGGCATTCCATATGTTTAAAGCACACAATTATGTACTTTCTGATGGAGGTTACCTTCCAGGCAGATGAAGTAAAAGGGATGAGATTTGGGAGAAAGGATTGTATTTTCTCAGATTTAGATTGCTCTTCTAAAATATTAGAACTCATGAGACTAATGTGTGCATTCTTTTTTTATTTACTTTAAAAATGTTGGGCTGGGGATA